TCGGCCTTCGGGTGGGCGGTTGGTAGGTATTTGGGTCGGCCTTCGGGTGGGCGGGTAGGTATTTGGGTCGGCCTTCGGGTGGGCGGGTAGGTATTTGAGTCGGCCTTCGGGTGGGCGTGTCACCTGTGTTCTTCCAGACATCAGTACTCTGGTGTAGCAGCTCAAGACTACACTGTGTAAAAGATATTTTGCAGGTAAGAACATACAAATTTAAATTAATAACTTGACCAAGGAAGTTACATTCAGTTTGTAATGTACTGAAAAGCTATGCATTGATTGTCATAAGATTGGTATGGTTAGATCTTGTCCAATTAAAGATATAATTTTACGATGTATAGCACTCTGGCATATTTCCTAGTTACTGCAACAGAATGTCGAGTTTTCCTGTGTTCTGGACACACTATTGTAATGATTTTCGAATGACTGATCGGTGAACATTATGTTTAGGGAGAAGTGACATATGAGTTTTTCATCAATAAACAAAGGTTCAAACTGATAGCATCAAAAGTATTATGTAGCAAACATCAACTTTTGAAGAACATGTAATTGTGTTTTTCTCAATGCGAGTTTAAGGACTTCCGAAAATAGCTTCATTAGGTTGGTAAGGATACAAGAGTTTTCTTTTACACAACCAAACTATTTACCTTGCTGACGTGTTGGTGTCTGCCAGAGTTTATTTTTATTATATGGACTGTTTAATAGTTTTTGCAGCTATAATGTTTGCATGGTCAGCATGAAATATGTCCTGAGCAAACTAAAACCTTTAAAAAAGGATGTTGTTTGTTAATCTTTATCCTCCAGGACTACAGAAGTGAGTTCGGCTTTTGTTACCATGGCAACAAACAGCGGTGGCTCTGATGGCATCAAAAGAGGATCGGATGGGAGATCTGCCACAAAAACGTACAGATGTGAGGAGTGCAGCAAGCAGTTCAGTTATCTGAGTCATCTCAAGGCACACAGGGGATAGGACTCACACAGGTGAGAAACCCTACAGATGTGAGGAGTGCAGCAGACAGTTCAGTCAGCTGGGTAGTCTGAAGAAACACATGCGGACTCACACAGGGGAGAAACCCTACCAGTGTGAGGAGTGCAGCACGCAGTTCAGTCGGCTGGGTAGTCTTAAGAAACACATGCTGGCTCACACTGGTGAGAAACCCTACCAGTGTGAGGAGTGCAGCAGGCAGTTCAGTCAGCTGGGAAGTCTGAAGAAACACATGCGGACTCACACAGGGGAGAAACCCTACAGCTGTGAGGAGTGCAGCAGACAGTTCAGTCAGCTGGGTAGTCTGAAGAAACACATGCGGACTCACACAGGGGAGAAACCTTACAGGTGTGAGGAGTGTGGCAGGCAGTTCAGTCAGCTGAGTAATCTGAAGACCCACATGCGGACTCATACTGGGGAGAAACCCTACAGGTGTAAGGAGTGCAACATGCAGTTCATGTATCTTAATAATCTGAAGAGACACATGCGGACTCACGCAGGTGAGAAACGCTTTAAGTGTGAGGAGTGCAGCAAGCAGTTCAGTCAGCTAAGTCATCTGAAGAGACACATGCGGACTCACACAGGTGAGAAACCCTACAAGTGTGAGGAGTGCAGCAGGCAGTTCAGTGAACTGGCTGATCTGAAGAAACACATGCGGACTCACACAGGTGAGAAACCCTACAGGTGTGAGGAGTGCTGCAGGCAGTTCAGTTTTCTGGGTAATCTGAAGGATCACATGCGGACTCACACAGGGGAGAAACCCTACAGTTGTGAGAAGTGTGGCAAGCTGTTCAGTTGGCCAGGTAGTGTGAAGAGACACATGCAGACTCACTTGTAAGAAAATCCTACAGGTGTGACAGGAGTACAAAACCTCACAGTAAGGACTGAGTTGTGAGTCTTGTGCTATGAAGTATCCTGTTTGCAAAGTCTGACAGCGAAGAAACTCCAACAGTGTGAGGAGTGCAGCAGACTGTTTAGTCACCTCGGTCATACATTGTAAGCAACACATTCAAACTCTAAAAATGACCTAAAGAAGGTGGATCATGTGAAACCATACAGGAAAAAAAAGAAATACTAGGATTGAGGACATTCGTGTTGTACAAGACACCTATTGTGACTAAGAGCAAGTTTTCTTTTACAATCCTGTGAACTCTCTTTAATGTGAAAGTGAGGAATCAGACTGGTAAAGAAAACCTATGATGTACTACAAACAACATTTCAGTATCCCTTGTTAAGTCTACAGCATAACATAGGGGATGTTAAACATTGTATATCAAGCTTACTAACCCGTAACCTAAGTTTATTTCTTTAAAGTTCTTTTGTTATAGATAGAGGAAGAGAGATTTGGTTTTATAGATATTAGCATGTAATGGTTTATTCTGTTAAACTAGATATTCAAGTTATTTATAGATTCCTTTAGTATAGTATTTGTTTTCTTGTTTCTGACTAATTGTTGCCATAGATGATAGAATTACCTGAAGTTCATGTAAGTGCAGGTAGATAAAGACTAGTGTTGTTACTGATATTCTAAACTACTGCATAACATTTTCTGGCTATAGTTATAGAAGCTAATATTTACTCTTGTAGTACATAGATCTATATGCAAATTAAGTTCCTGTTGTTAGTTTGTTACTAGTATGTTAAGATCGATTTGTTCAAGTCGTTTTCATTTGTTTTAAATAAATTTTCTTTTTGAATTTTAAATATGCGTTTGTCTAGAACACTGGTCTGGTCGCAAATGTGAGGAATATGTGCAAACTATTACAACATGATGATTTACAAATCATATGCATAATTTTCATCCAATAATGAAGATCTCTGTCTAAGCTACCCACATACCAAAAATCATAAAAATACATTGTTCCTTTGTGAATTTATCTGCTCTGAAAGGTTTCGCCAGAAACCCCACTGCAGTTCCAGAACAAGCTGCTAGGGGGACCAAACCCACACCACTTATTACTGGTAGGAAGAGGTATCCACCACTCAAAAATCAAGACCATAGCACGTCCAGAACAAAAGATACAAAAACCGGAAGTTCTGCTGCAGTACCAAGGTCAGCCACCAGGAGGCCCCAAATCGACCTTGACCTTTGGCTACCCAACACCTATCCACATACCAAATATCATTACAATCCATCCAAAGGCTATGCTGGTCACAAATATCCGGAAACACAGACAGACACACAGACAGACACGCCAAAAACCATACAGTCAAGGAGGTTTTCATGGAGGTAAAAACTGCCACAAGAATTCGAACTCCGTGGATGAAGAGAACAATCCCGCTTGCCTCATTATGAATCCCATCTCCGCGGAGCTCATTCCGCTAACCCCCGTGTCTCCGTCCACCAGACGTGTCGTGGTGTGGAAGAAAGTATCGAGGGTTTCTCGTCGTCTTTTTGCGAGCCCTTTTCGGTTCAGATCGTCGGGATTTCATCCTACATACAACTCAGGTACGTACCAAGAGCTTGACTACTCTACAGTCATCGAAGTGACGGGAAAATAACACGTATAAGTTTGTTTTACGCTCTGAGTCTCTCACTAGCTAGCCTGGTGTGTGCCGCTTGTGAGAAGTTCTATACAGCTCGAAAAGCAACGTTTTCTTGTTTGTTAACAAGTTTCTGTCAGAAACAACAAAGTTAATATAGAGCAGCACACACACACGCAAACTTTCTTTGGTTTTGTTGTGCCCTTGTAGGTGGAAAATGGCGTAGATCGTTTCCAAATTTGTCTGAGAAAAAGTTGTTGACTCCTCGGCGAAGGTCTAGAAGGGGTTATGCGGTCTCCTTGAATATTGGAAATCGAACACGACAGCAAATGTGCTTGATTATTGCACAAATATAATACAAACGGCTTTCTATAATCCACAGTTGATTTTGCAGACAAAGGGTACTTTTGGGGTTGAAATTTGGTAGTTCTTTTGAGATAGAATATTCTGTAAACCCCCAAATGTGCCTCGTAACGGTGTTCCCGCCCGGACATCTGGTTTCTATCATGGAGAAAAAGTCTGGAGTGAGGGGAGGTTCATTAACTGTCGTACATGTGGCGTTATTGATTGAGGGGGAGTTAGGGGTGATTCACTAACTATCTAAAAGAAAGCTTTACCCACTGAGGGGATATTTGAAGGAAATGCAGGCTTCTGATCACATCTTTTTGTTTCCACAGGATTCCATAGTCCAGTAGTGCTGAAACTCAGTGAAAGGAAAAACAGTGAGGCTTCGCCTGTGTTCTCCCAGATATCAGTACTCTGGTGTAGCAGTTCAGGACTTGACTGTGTAAAAGATATTTTGCAGGTTAGAACATATTATTATTAACATTTCCAAGAAAGTTTATAAATGCATTTCTATGTTCATGTATGTGGTTTACCAGCATATCTGGTAAAATTTGGCTAGTTTGGTATAATCTTGTCGCATTGAAAACAATGATTTTTTTTCACAAGCAATCTGGCAGATTTCCTAGGTATTCCAGTAGAACAAGGTTTAAACAAAGAAACAGTGTTAAAACTATCACAGCAAGCACCAACTTTCCAAGTAATCCTTGCATTCCGCTATCCAAATTTAAGGACTGTTTGGTACTTTCTACAGCTTTTGTGTTTGGTCAGCATGATGTCCTGAGTAGACAAAAACTTTTGGAATTTCAATGTTGTTCATCTTCACACTCCAGGACTACAGAGGTGAATTCAGCTTTTGTTACCATGGCAACAAACAGCGGTGGCGCTGATGGAATCAAAGGAGGATCGGATGGGAGATCTGCCACAAAAATGTACAGATGTGAGGAGTGCAGCAAGCAGTTCAGTCAGCTGTGTAATCTCAAGGCACACATGCGGACTCACACAGGTGAGAAACCCTACAGATGTGAGGGAGTGCAGCAGGCAATTCAGTCAGCTGGGTCATCTGAAGACACACATGCAGACTCACACTGGGGAGAAACCCTACAGGTGTGAGAAGTGCAGTAGACAGTTCAGTGAGCTGGGTAGTCTGAAGAAACACATGCGGACTCACACAGGGGAGAAACCCTACAGGTGTGAGGAGTGTGGCAGGCAGTTCAGTCAACTGGGTAGTCTCAAGACACACATGCGGACTCACACTGGGGAGAAACCCTACAAGTGTGAAGAATGCAGCAGGCAGTTCAGTCATCTCTGTAGTCTCAAGATACACATGCGGACTCACGCAGGTGAGAAACCCTACAGGTGTGAGGAGTGCAGTAGGCAGTTCAGAGAACTGGGTGATCTGAAGACTTACATGCGGACTCATACAGGTGAGAAACCCTACAGGTGTGAGGAGTGCAGCAGACAGTTCAGTGAGCTGGGTAGTCTGCAGAAACACATGCGGAGTCACACTGGTGGTCAAAACCGCAGAGTTTGAGGATTTAGTTGTGAGCCTGGTCCTATGAAATATCCAGTTTGCAAAGCCTGACAGGGAAGAAACTCCAACAGTGCAGTGTGAGGACTTCAGCAAACTGTTAAATCACCAGGGTCATTGCAAGAGACACACGCAATCTCCAAAGGATTAGATTTTAGAATAACTCAAGTCATAGAAGGCTGACCATGTGATACCGTATACTATTAGGAAAAGCAAAGAAATCCTTGGACTGATGTGAATGTAGAAAATTCATGTTGTACAAGACACTATTGCGACTGACTTACTAAGAGCAAGTTTTGTTTACAATCGTGTCAACTCTGTACTACAAAATGTGGAATCAAATTGTTCAAGGTAAATCCATGTACATGTATTAGCTTTTCATGATGTGTTACAAAGAGTGACATAAAAGCTGTAGGTAAAGGTTGCTATAGTGTCTTTCCTAGAAAGTTTCTTAGAAATGCTGGACTTAATGTGGTACATCTGGTTTGTAGCATTCCAAAACACACCAATACCGTAGCAACTTTACTGATATAGGGGATGCGAAATACTGTATATCAAGGTAACTAACCTAAGTTTATTTCTTTAAAGTTCTTTTGTTATATAGGTAGAGAGTTTTGTTTTTATAGATAGATTACCATCCCATCCAATATTAGCATGTTGTTTATTCTGTTAACCTAAATATTTATAGAATCAGTTTATTTAGTCCAGTATTTGATCGCTTGTTTGTTGCGATAGATGATAGAATTGGTTCATGTAATTGTAAGTGCATAGGAAGAAGTTTGTTGCTGATATTCTACTGCATTACATTTTGTACCAATGGAACTAACAGGTAGTTGTTATAGAGCCTAATATTTACTCTTCAGGTGCATGTATAATGTATGTAAGGTAGGTGGCCTTTTGAGCTTTTGTTATGTGAACATGGGTTTGTTCAACGTTTTCGTTTGTTGAAAATAAATGTTCTTTTTGAACTTTAGCTATGCGTTTGTTTATAACTCTGGTCTGGTCGCAGATGTGAAGAATATGTGCAAAAGATTGAAACACCATGATTTATAAATTCATAATCTTTGAAATTTTAATAGGTATATAACTACAGAACCGCCAAATTAGTAACTTCAGATTTAGGGTCTAGCCAAATAGAATAAAAGCCCAGAAAAAAGATTCATAAATTCCCAATCTTTGTTGAAACGTGATCCATAAATTCACAATCTTTGAAACGTGAATACACACACACACACACACATATATATATATATATATATATATATATATATATATATGCGAGCGCCGCCTAGCGGTAGCTGCAATAATTGCCCCTATATCGCAAGACTTGCACAGCGTTGAAGGTTGACATCCCTTGGACTTATCAAGCTCCTGTCATTCAAAGTTGTTTCAAATTTTAATAATTTTAAATAGAGCATGGAGACCTAATGTCTACAGTCTTCTTAAAAGAAGTCACTTCACAAGTTTCAAAAACTGCCACAAGAATTAGAACTCCGCGGATACCAAGGACCCGCTTCGCTTTGCCTCATTATGAATCTCAACTCCGCGGAGCTCATTCCGTTAACCCCCGTGCCTGACGTGTCGTGGAGTGGAAGAAAGTATCGAGGGTTTCTCGTCGTCTTTGTAAGAGCCTTTTTCGGTTCAGATCGTCGGGATTTCATCCTACATACAACTCAGGTACGTACCAAGAGCTTGTCTACTCTACAGTTATCGATGTGACGGGAAAATAACACGTACAACTTTGTTTACGCTCTCTGAGTCTCTCACTAGCTAGCCGCTAGCGACGTGTGTGCCGCTTGTGAGCTCGAAAAGTAACGGTTCCCTGTTTGTAAACAGGTTTCTGCGTAGCAATTTTAGAGTGTACTGTAGAGTGTAGCTTTGTTTTGTTTTGTTTTGTTGTGCCTTTCTAGATCTAAATGTAATAGATCGTAGCTTTCCATGTCTGAGAAAAATGTTGTTGACATTTCAACGAAGGTCTAAAGGGGGTTATGTTGACTCTTGAAAAATTCGAAATTAAACACGACAACAGAAGTGCTGAACCTTATTGTGCAAATGATAGAAATGCCTGTCTTATAATTATCTACAGTTGATTTTGCATACAAAGGGTAATGTTTGGGTTGAACTGTGGAAGTTGTTTCGAGGTAGAATTTTCTGAGAACCCCCAAATGTACCTCGTAAGGGTCTTCCCGCCCAGACATCTGGTTTCTATCATGGAGGAAAGGTCTGGAGTCAGGGGAGGTTCATTAACTCTCGTGGCGTTTGGGGGGTGGGGGTGGTAGGGGTGATACATTAACTATTTAGAAGGAAGCTTTGTCAACTGAGGGGATATTTGAACGAAATTCTGGCCTCTCATCACATCTTTTTTGTTTTCCACAGGATTCCATAGTCCAGTAAGGCTGAAAGGGAAACAAGACTCCATATAACAGAAGTGCTGCCTGCCCTGCTGAAAGGGAAAACAGTGAGGCTTCATCTGTGACTGTGTTCTCCCAGACATCAGTACTCTGGTGTAGCAGCTCAAGACTTGACTGTGTAAAATATATTTTGAAGGTTAGAACATATTGTAAACTTTTCTAAGAAATTTATGTTTAGTTGCATTTGTATATATTTGGTTTCGCAGCACATCTCAAGCAAGAGGCTTTGAATGGATTGTCATGAAATTTGGTATAATCTTGTGCTTTCCTGATAAAATGCGGCTCATACAGAAATTAAATGTTATCTTCATCCTCCAGGACTACAGAGGTGACTTCGGCTTTTGTTACCATGGCAACAAACAGCGGTGGCTCTGATGGCATCAAAATTGGATCGGATGGGAGATCTGCCACAAAAACGTACAGATGTGAGGAGTGCAGCAAGCAGTTCAGTCCGCTGGGTCTTCTCAAGAGACACATGCGGACTCACACAGGTGAGAAACCCTACAGGTGTGAGGAGTGCCGCAAGCAGTTCAGTCGGCTGGATCATCTGAAGACTCACATGCGGACTCACACAGGGGAGAAACCCTACAGGTGTGAGGAGTGCAGCAGTCAGTTCAGTAAGCTGGGTAATCTCAAGGCACACATGCGAACTCACATAGGTGAGAAACCCTACAAATGTGAGGAGTGCAGCAGGCAGTTCAGTCAACTTGGTAATTTCAAGGCACACATGCGAACTCACATAGGTGAGAAACCCTACAAATGTGAGGAGTGCAGCAGGCAGTTCAGTCAACTTGGTAATCTCAAGGCACACATGCGAACTCACATAGGTGAGAAACCCTACAAATGTGAGGAGTGCAGCAAGCAGTTCAGTCGACTTGGTAATTTCAAGGCACACATGCGGACTCACACAGGGGAGAAACCCTACAGGTGTGAGGAGTGCAGCAAGCAGTTCAGTCAGCTATCTAATCTCAAGACACACATGCGGACTCACACAGTACAGGTGAGAAACCGTACAGGTGTGAGGAGTGTGGCAGGCAGTTCTTTACTCTGGGTAATCTAAATTCACACACGCAGACTCACACAGGTGAGAAACCGTACAGGTGTGAGGAGTGTAGCAGGCAGTTCAGTCAGCTGAGTCATCTGAAGGACCACATGCGGACTCACACAGGTGAGAAACCCTACAGGTGTGAGGAGTGCAGCAGGCAGTTCTGTCGGCTGGATCATCTGAAGACTCACATGCGGACTCACACAGGTGAGAAACCGCACAGGTGTGAGGAGTGCAGCAGGCAGTTCAGTCAGCTAAGTCATCTGAAGAGACACATAAGGACTCACACAGGTGAGAAACCCTACAAGTGTGAGGAGTGCAGCAAGCAGTTCAGTCATCTGGGTAACCTGAAGAAACACATGCGGACTCACACAGGGGAGAAACCCTACATGTGTGAGGAGTGCAGCAGGCAGTTCAGTCGGCTTGGTAAATTCAAGGCACACATGCGGACTCACACAGGTGAGAAACCCTACAGGTGTGACAAGAGGAGTACAAAACCTCACAATTTTGAGGATTGAGTTGTGAGCCTGGTCCTATGAAATATGTCTGACAGGGAAGAAACTCCAACAGTGTGAGGAGTACAGCAAACTGTTTAGTCACCTCGGTCATACATTGTAAGCAACACATGCAAACTCTAATAATGACATAAAGAAGGTGGGTCATGTGAAACTAGACAGGAAAAAAGAAATAGAGAAAGAAATGAGGACATTCATGTTGCGAAAGGCACCTTTTTGACTAAGAGCAAGTTTTATTTACAATCCTGTTAACTCTCTTTAATGTGAAAGTGAGGAATCAGACTGGTAAAGAAAACCTATGATGTACTGCAAACAAGGTTTCAGCACCCCTTGTTAAGCTTACAAGTGAGTATAGCATAACAACTTACTTTAACTGATATAGGGGATGTAAAACACTGTATATCAAGCTAACTAACCCATAACCTAAGTTTATATCTTTGAAGTTCTTTTGTTATTGAGGAAGAGAGTTTTGGTTTTATAGATATTAGCATGTTATGGTTTATTCTGTTAACCTAGATATTTATAGAATCAGTTTATTTAGTCCAGACTCTAGTATTTGTTTTCTTGTTTCTGACTAATTGTTGCCATAGATGACAGAATTGACTGAAGTTCATGTAATTGTAGCTAGATAAAGACTAGTGTTGTTACTGATATTCTAATACTCTGTATAACATTTTGTATATAGTTATAGAACCTAATATTCACTCTTGAAGTACAAAGATGTATTTGCGAAGTGCCTGTTGCTAGTTTGTTACTAGTATGAGAAGATCCATCGGTTCAAGTCGTTTTCATTTGTTTTAAATAAATTTTCTTTTTGGATTTTAAATATGCGTTTGTCTATAACACTGCTCCGGTTACAGATGTGAAAAATACGTGCCAAAAACAGAGTTACTTCAAATTCAGGTTCGAGTCAAATAGAATAAAAGCCAAGCGTAAGCGCCGACTAGCGGTAGCTGTGATAATTGCTCCAATATTGCAATTAGCTTGCACGGAGTTGAAGATTGACACCCCTTGTAATCTCCAAGCAGATCCCTCTCGGTGGCAAAAAGACAGTATCAAATTGGCCAGGCAGTATCCATTAGCCAGAGAAGCTCCACGGCCACCGACGGGGTGGGGATCAGGACAAAAAAACGGCCATATATAAAAAGGTAACGATCATTCCCCACAACCTCTGCTTGGAGAGTAACCCCTTGGACTAGTCAAGCTCCTTTCATTCAAAGTTGTTTCAAATTTTGAAAATCTGAAATGGAGCATAGAGACCTAATCGTCCTAGCTGTACATTCTTCTTTGGCGCCAGTCTTGTCTCCGGGAGAAATCTGTTGACCAAGTTTCGCAAGCTGCCACCTGAATTCGAACTCCGCGGAGCAAAGTGTAACGAGAAACCGCCATCTCCGCGGAGCTCATTCCGCTAACCCCCGTGTCTCCGTCCACCAGACGTGTCGTGGTGTGGAAGAAAGTATCGAGGGTTTCTCGTCGTCTTTCTACGAGCCTTTTTCGGTTCAGATCGTCGGGATTTCATCCTACATACAACTCAGGTACGTACCAACCGCTTGTCTACTCTACAGTTATCGATGTGACGGGAGAATAACACGTACAAGTTTGTTTTACTTACGCTCTCTGAGTCTGTCACTAGCCAGCCGCTAGCGACGTGTGTGTCGCTTGTGAGAAGTTCTTTACTGCTCGAAAAGCAACGGATTCTTGTTTGTAAACAAGTTTCTGTCAGAAACAACAGAGTTTATATAGACCAGCACACACACGCAGACTTTCTTTGGTTTTGTTGTGTCCTTGTAGGAGTAAAATGGCGTAGATCGTTTCCAAATTTGTATCTGAGAAAAATGTGTTGACACCTCGGCGAAGGTCTAGAAAGGGTTTTGCGGTCTCCTTGAATATTGGAAATCAAACACGACAACAAGAGTGCCTGCTTATTGTACAAATATAATACAAACGGCTTTCTATAATCCACAGTTGATTTTGCATACAAAGGGTAATTTTGGGGTTGAAATTTGGAAGTTGTTTCGAGGTGAAATATTCTGGAAATCCCCAAATGTGCCTCGTAACGGTCCCAGACATCTGGTTTCTATCATGGAGGAAAGGTCTGGAGTCAGGGGAGGTTCATTAAGTCTCGTACATGTTGCGGTATTGATTGAGGGGGAGTTAGGGGTGGTACATTAACTACTTAGAACGAAGCTTTGTCGACTAATGAGATATTTGAAGGAAATGCAGGCTTTCTGATGACAGTTTTTGTTTTCCTTTTCACCAGGATTCCATAGTCCAGCAGTACTGAAAGGGAAACAGGATTCCATAGTCCAGTTGTGCTGCCTGCCGTGCTGAAAGGGAAAACAGTGAGGCTTCGCCTGGCTTAATCCAGACATCAGTACTCTTCGTAAAATATATTTTGCAGGTAAGGACATATTATTAACTTCTCCAAGAAAAATGTTGCATATTTTGTTGCATTTGTATGTACGTGGTTTAGCAGCATAATGTTATATCTCAATAGGCTCTCAGTTAGGGCTGGGTACCGGTTCAGAAAATTCAGGTCCGGATCAGGTTCAGAGGATCAGGTCCAGGTCCGGACCTAAACCTGGACCTTATTAGTGAAGTACAGTAGTAGGAGCAATTTAACTGAGTACGTGTATGCCTTGATGATATCTATCGCTCGGTACTACCACAAACCTCGTGGTCCGTGAACTTTTTGTCGACCTAAAATGGAACCCACTGTTACAGAAGAGAGAAACATGGATTTAGGCTAATCTAGTTTGATTCAGGGTTATTTTTTTCACTTGCCATGACCAGATTACCTAAAGATGTCTGTACAATCTACCAAAATGTACTCTAAAATTAACACTAATGTACATCAGGTCCGATGATCAGGTTTTTGCGTTTAGGTTTTTTGGACTCGGTTCTTGAATGTTGTTCAGGTCCAAACAGGTCCAGCTGAACCGGTACCCAGCCCTACTCTCAGTGGATTGTCATGAAATTTGGTATAATCTTGTCCCACTGATAAAATGATTACGTTTTTAGCAATACGGCAGATTTCCTAGAAACTGCAGTAGAACTTCTGGTGTTTTTATGTTGTATTTGGGCAAAAGTTTTGGATAAGCAATGAAGATAATTTTTGCAAAAGTGATAGCTCTTCTTTTTGAGAAGTGTCATAAATTTTGACTCTATAGGCCGATTTAAGTTTCGTCATCAAGAGATAAAAGGGTCAAACAAACT